TTCTTGTTAAAACTATTTTTGACATCATTATTTTTTTTCTCTATTATTTCCTCCTAAGTTTTAAGACTAAATAAATACAATACTTCTTTGTTCTTTCTAATTTAATTAATGAGATTATTATTACACTTTTTTGAATAAAGAATATTGACAACTATCTTAAATAAATAATATCTATTTAATCCGTACAACGCATGGGACTAAACTAGTTAGGTAATCTAAACAAAAAATATAAGTATGACGATGATAGTTATATCATAACACATAGTCCCTCCGTTGGGTTTTTTTTTAAGTGCCCTATTGGATGTGCATGGAGTTTTACGCTAAAGAGTACAATAATATATAAGTGGATATGGTTTGGAATATTAAATTTTAAAAAATAAGAAAGAGAATATAAATAACCAACCACTAGGTATAGTGTTAGAGGAAAAATATTAAAAAGTAATAATAGGGTCAAAAGAAATAGAGAGAATTTTAGTGGGATTTATAAATTTGGTAATAACACATCTAAAAAAACCAGTCGTTTTTTTTTTTAAAGTAAGGACCCTTATATAAAAAAAATAAATAAATAAAATAAAATAAAATGAATGGAGTATCAATTAGACCTCGCCCACTTGGAATCTTTCAAATAATCAATCTAGTTGTTTGATCCTAAAGGATTAACTTGGAGCAATATTACTCAGTGAGGTCCAATATGTACGAGAAATATTCATTGTATGACATATTTATGATTATAAACTAATAATAACATTTTCTTTTATATTTATATTTTTTGTTGACAAAGTGGAAATAGAGGCTAGCCTCTAACCGACTCAACAATAAAGCTAATACATTGCCCATAACAATTATCTTTGTAATTTATGTGTATGATCTTTATTTGGATTTTCGAATTTGTGTTGTAGTGTTGATTAGTGGCATTTATGCCATTATTTCACCCCTCTTTAGGGAGAATTTACCCTCATTTATCACTTGTTTGCGCCTTTTCTAATCATTTTTACCCTTATTTTAGTTATATTTGCTTTCTATTGTGATTTCTTCGTTTAGCTTTTCTTGTGTTTTCTATCATTTTATCCATGTTTTGCAGGTCTTTTGGGTGCTTTTAGATTTAGATTGACGAGTTATGCTTGGTCTAGGAGTGGAGAGATGCCTTATGGAGAGGGCGCGCTACTTTCCAGCCACCGCGTGGGCTACTTAGCCGCGGGCGCAGAAAGGTGACTTTGGAGGTTCCTGTAGATGGCTTCCCGCACCCCAGGAGAGAGCTCTCCATCAGATACCGCGGGTGCGACCTCCTGCTTCCTTGTTTTCCCCTGTTCTCGCGCCGCGGCCTCTCCACCAGCCACTGCGGGCACGGTGATTCAAGCCGCAGGGGCGGTCCATGGGGTCTGCTTGGCCGTACACAAATGATAGAGGGCGCGGTGCAGCTAGAGACGGCGCGGCTTAGCTTAGTTGTTTATTTCCGGATTTGTTAAGTACTATTGTAGGAAATATTTTAAAACTCAACTTTGAGCCCCACTGTGGTCATATTTTTATGCATGGTGGCGTCCAAAGGGAAGGAAGTTTGAGATAAAAGAGTCACCAACAAGTTTTAGGAACTTGTAAACCTTTCACGAGTGTAAAGGTTACACCCCATTCACGATCACGGAGATCGCTAACTCCATAGTGGTTTAGAACCATGACTGGATATATGGCGATGATGGTACGAATCCAACCTAAAAGAGATTAAACCCGCCCTAAATCGGCCTCTTCTTAATTCTTATGATATTCACGTGCGCTTTTCGATCAACATACATTCATCAAATTAATCCTAAGCATATTTAATCTTCATTGTGTTGATTATTAATGTACAAATAAATCTATTATTGGTGATCAATTGAATTAAAATCATATTAGTCTAAATCAATTTATTAATTATCTTATTAAGCGTGATTTCAAATACAAATTCCCTTTAAACCTGCAAGAAAGGTGTGATCAAGCAATAACAATCAATCATGAATAATCAAGCAACACAACAATCATCCTAATAATACCATTAATATCATCAAAATATGCATGATTAGCAAGATCCTATGCATGATACTAAATGGATTAATAACAAATCCTAGCATGTCACTAAAGAATAAAGATCAAAGCTTTATCTTAAACATGATACTAGAAATCAAAATCAACATGATATTAGAAATATTAATTAACACCCTAAACAAGATACTAGGAATCATAAAAGCATCCTAACATGATACTAGGGATTAAAATAATATTCTAAGCATGATTTCTACATCAAAATAATAATTAAGTAATCGAATTACTTACTTTGATGCCTCGCATCTCTTTCTATCAAAACAATACACACATTAGTAAAGTTCAAGAAAGATTAAACAAATAAATCAAATATGAATTGAAATATAGATTTTGGACTAAACCCTCAGAACTATCAACCTTTCACGTCGAGGTCGAAGGCAACTATGAGATTGGCTAGGAGTATTCGAGGCTCGTGAAGGACGTATGGTGTTTGATTAGGAAAAGTAAAGGATACATGTTTGTGAATGTGTCAGGATGTGTTTAGGCTAAGGCTAGGCTAGAAATCAAGAGAGAGAGAGAGAAAGAGAGAGAGAGAGAGAGAGAGAATAAGCTTTAGCTTAGAGAGGGGAAGAAATGATGATTGTTGGTGAATGAAAACGGGGTGATACAACCTCTATATATAAGGAAAAAGAGGTTCAAAGATCAGAAAAAGAGTTAGAATTTGATTCGGAGTAAAACAAAGTCCATCGCAACGCGATAGGCTTATCGCGACGCAACAAGCTTGTCGCGACGCGATGATTCTGTCGCTCAGCGATGGTTTTTAGGAAGATTGAATCCGTCTGAAATCCGACTTCCAATCAAATTGGATCAATCGAATTTTCGTACGTATTCTAATTTTATCAGAATTAAAAATTATTAAAAAAAAGGTTTTATCCGATGTAAAATCCTTAAGTCATCTTTTCAAATACAGGATAAATTAGAATCTTCTAGAGGATTCTAGAAGCTAATAATAGATCATTATGGATTTAGGATCGAATACAACCTTCTAGAAGATTTTAGAAACTTGTAATAAATCCTAGTTGGTTTAGGAATGAGGTAAGGTTGATGGACCCTCCACATGATCATTGGGTCGCAGGTAAGGCTCTGTTTGGGCTCAATTTAGTATTTTGGTCATAACTTGTTCGTTATAACTCAGATTTAGGCTTATAATATTTCGTTGGAAAACTCTTTTCAAACCCCATCCAACTACACAATTATTGGACCAAGATTATGGACCAAAATAGGCTGGTTTGAACGTTTTTATGAAGACAACACGAAATGAATAATTTTCAAAGACACGAAATGAATGATTTTGAATAAAAACATTTAAGAAAAGGTTAGAAATGGTCAAGGCTTAGAGGAAATTCACAAGCTTTGAAACACAATAAATAGACTTTTTCTTGAATTTTTGGATTATCTAATTTTCAAAATATTATTAGAGCTTTGTAGAGAGAGAAACTATTGGTATTTTAGAGAGAGAAAGTTGCTTGATCTTCAAGTTTCATCATTTTAATCAAGATTTCTTCAAGTTTTTTTCAATCTAATGCAAGTATTTCATGTTTTCTTCATCAATCAAGTTTCATAGTAGTAATCTCTTATCTCTTTCCTTTTTGTTTTGTTTGATTGCTTTTGATTGTGTTGATCTTCATCTATTTCCTTGATTTTACTTGTTTGATTGATTTACTTTGATTTTGAATCATGTTTTGTTTGGTTAAGATTGAATTCATGTTTAGAGTAGTTGTGATGGCTATTTTCTCTTCTCCAGCTTAGATTTCTAGCTAGGGAAAGGGGTGAAGATCATGATTAGCTTGGAATATGGTGATGATTGATTGGATGTTGCTTTGAGTTGATAATTTTGTGCTTAAATTGCTTGGAATTATTGATGTGCACCTTTAATTTCATCACTTCAGTACTAAATTGGATGCATGGGAATGATCTAGTTTAGTGTTGATCTATTTCATCAATTTGCTTGAATAATTGCATGGGAATGAATTATTTGGGTAGAATTTGTATTCCCTGGCATGTATCCATGTTAATCTTCATTGTTGCCTTAATTGATCATGATTGGAACCCCCTCTCCCTAGTGTTTTGTTCTTATTTCCCAAATCTAGTTGTTCATCTTCATTTTAGTTCTTTTAATTTGATTTCATTTCATTTACTTGCTTTTATCATTTGTAGTAGTTTCAATTGATCATAGAAAACAACAAAATATCAAAATACCCCTTGTTACCTTGCAATAGATTCTTAATTTTACTTTGATTGTGCATTTTCCCGTTTTCTTGAAGTTCGACCCTAGCTTGCCACTATCTTGTGTAATCTTGGTAGAATAAAAATAGGAATATAAATTGTTGATTTGATCTAGGATAGTAGACCACGACCTATTATCCGGTCATCAAGTGTAATTTTTGACATAGAAATACTTTGCTTTTTTTTTTTTAACACAAAGTTCTACTTTGCTATTAATCATATTAACTTTTCACACTCCTTCGAAACAATAAAAAAAAAATAATAATATTTCACAATAGCTAATTGGTGCTATGTTGTCTAATTTTATGTGACAATGTTGCTATAATGTCTTAAACACTACTTTGTATCAAGAATGATTTTAAAATAATTATTGATTTATACTGTGTAAATCACATACATTGACCAATAATGTTTCTTTCAAAGAAATACGTAGTGAACATCTCGAAGCAATATCCTACATGTTTTCACAAGAAGAGATTGAAGGAATAAAAATCGCTTTGGTTCTTCAAGTAAGAAGGAAAGAAGTATATTATAATTTGCATTAAGACAATAGTCTTTTTTCACATTTTCAATATACAGCCTAAAGTGTTGTTATTTTTTGCTTAATAATCCATGTTTCAAGACTCCAAGTATATGTTAAGTCCAAACATTGATTTGGTAAATTAATTAATTGATACTTTGATATAAAATTAGTAATCATGTGCAGCAACACGGGCACATAATAGTATAAAATTAAATTCAGACAAGAGTAAAACACATTCTCAAAGGAAGCCAATGGATTGTAACAGTAAAATCTGATTGATTCAAGGATACATAGAAGTAAGCAGATGAACTGATGTCAACTGCAGTTGTCATATGCACAAGATTATACATCAATTTAGCTCTGCGGCCAAAAAAAGGGGGGCAACGAAAAATCTTGGCAACAAATAAACTAGACTATCAAGTTTGGTAAAACTTCTTGACAGCCAATTCTGCTGTTCTATACCAGGAGGCAGTAGCCATAGCACCAGGATCTGGAACAGAAGGTAAATATCACAGGAAGTATAGGTTGAGTGGCCGAAAAGGGGGCAGAAAGAAAACTTTGCAACAGATGGAGTATACTATGAAGTCCGTTGAAGCTTCTTGACAGCCAAAGCTGATGCTTTATACCATGAAGCAGCAGCCATAGCACCAGGATCTGGAACTGAAGCTAGAATATCACTGGAAATATATGTTGAGCGGCCAGCCTGCAGAAAAGTACCACAAAATTATCAGACACATTTTAAGCAAAACAAGAAAATGAATCTATTGCTTTTCCAATGTTGCACCCATTTTTTTAAGGATTATTGCTATATACTCTGACATTAATTAAAGTGAAAAATTTCCTCCAAGAGTCCAAAGAGTACTAGATTCATGATTTTGTTGCATAAAACACAGTATTAGTAGGAATAGGGAATCCAACATGTTCAACCTACATCAGTAAACAGAAATTTAATAAGATATTCCCTTCACAAAATCAACTTTTAGATTATGAGGATCGTCTCTTCTGTTATTTACGTATTTGGGAAGGTATCTTCCCTCAGCTAACATAAGCCATCAATCAATTTGTTGCCTTCCTTGATACCTAAACAGGTTCTTTCTGACATAGTTGCACAATACATAGCAATGGCTCTTTTGAAAGGTTTAAGCCCATAAATATCTTGTCAAGACTCACCTTCTTCTCACATGTTAGTTATGGACTTACATCCTCACCACAGTGTTTTGTCAAGAACATGATAAGCAGAATAGATTCTGATTGTACGATAATTTGCCTCAAGTTACCAGTGTCCCTTTATAAACATATCATAAACTCATCAGTCCTGAAGGCTTGAAAACCATTACAAGGTAGGTTCAAATTCAAAATTGAATTTCTCTAGAACCAACACTACTCACATGTCCATATGCAACACATATAATGAACCAAAAGAAAATTCATGAACCAGCAGCTCAAATTGATGACCCTATCCTTCTTACCTTCTAATTTAAGACCGTTTATCATGCGAAAAGAGGAGAAAAGGAGGAGAAGCAAAAATGGAGAGTTAAACAGGGGTTTAAAAAAAAGCGTGTTTTTCTTCTTCTGAAACAAGGAAATCACTTCACAATATCTGCTTTACCATCAAATCTGCTTTACCATCAATTTGTTAGTGTCCTTGTATTGTAGAAGAAGCAACCTTGACTAGTTCCAAACTTCCAATTCTTGGAAAGGATACAGTAACTCTTTAACATAAATAACCAAGCTCAAAACTGTATATTTTTTTGCCTTTTCTCCTCTATCCTTTCTTTCCCATCTATCTCAAGCAAGAGCCTCACCGCCACTATCCTATTGGCAAGGCAATGACAACCAACCAAGTCCTCATCCTCTCCTATTATAAAGATTCATGACATAAAATCTCAGCTCTTCCCTAAATTTGTACTTTGGTCTCATCCTTTATTACAGCTACCGAAAACTGGCCATCAGTGGGCAACAACAAATCCCCTCAAAGTATAGAAAAAGCACCCACACTGTACTCCTTATCTTAATACTTCAATTTGTGAATAATGCTTTTCATGCAAGTATAAACCCTAGATCTGATATGTATGAAGAAAGTTGCCATTTGGTTGGCTAGACAAAAGAAGATGACCACATTGACCAGTACCCGTATGACTCTTTCAAGTGTCTGAACTGTACTTGCACAACTTAGCTTTTATCCCAAATCAGATCAAATCAACAAATGATAAACCCAGTTTTAATGTGTTTGTGTTCCAAAAGTAATATAGAATCCTCCAGAAAGTAAACTAAACAATCCCCTCAACCAACCAAGGAAAAAGGCAGAGTACTGCAAAGATGCCCAAGACACTGCAGTAAAATGGTTTCACTCAATTTTATTAATTATTATTTATGGGAATACATGTAGTCACATTGCCATGTACCACTTTTGCACATTCAAATTACCCAAAAAAGTTCAATTGTTTTCACATAACTTGAAAAGGCAAACAAGGTATTTGATGAATTTTAACACAAGTAAACCCAAATACAAGGTCTGATGATGGCCGACTTTCAACATGTGTGGTCTACATAATCGCACAAGGCCCAACATTTGGGTGCCCCGTGATATTAGACAATGGTTTTTATGAAAAAATAATATTTGGAAAATATTCATACATGATCATATACAAGCTTGCATAAAGAATTATTTTGAACTTAGATATCTCTAAATCTATGGTACATTGGCACTGTTCTTAAACATCATAATGAGCAATTTAGTCCACAATCTTACAGAAAACCTAAACCATTCACCACACTTTTTATTTCATCTCTTTTAAAGACCCCATAATGTCTATGAAATTAGTAGATTATATGATTTGCAAAGTCAAATGGACTTGCACAAAACCTTAGATTTTAACTTAAGAGTCAAACGGACAAATAAACTAAAACCAATTGATCAAACAGACCGAACATTGAACCAAATAATCACTAGGTTGTGTATAAATCTCACAAACTCTCAAGAGTTATATCACAAAACTTTAAAACTGTAAATCTCAATCACTCACAAACAAAACAACAGATGAGTCTCTTTTTATCAATATAATTTTAGAATAATCTAACAAAAAATTCTAAATTATGTAGAATTTAAATAGTCAAATACCTAATTAGATTAGGAACCTAATAATAATTATATACATCTTATTATTTCTGCAAGTAAACTCCAATCCTATTGCAACATTTAAGGGGTTAATAGCAGATTCCTAATGCAACATCTAAATACATGACTTATCTTCATGAAGTTGTATTCAAGCCCAATAGCTTTTTTACACACCAAACATCTTTAGCTATTTTACCAGTCTCATATCTACATATATTACAATTATCTCAAAAATGATGTTGACTTTAATTCTTGACCAATGCTACTTAAATAAAAAAATACAATAGACTTTCTACAACATAAAAAGTCAAGGACCAAGTCATTAAATTAATTCCATAAATATTACTCCGTCCGTTCAAAAATTGGTTGAACATTTTTAAGCTTTGATTTGCCCCACAGTTTTTTGAACACGTCCTTTTAGTATGATCATAGCAATTTTCAATTATTTCTCACGTTTCTTTAAAGTTCACTAACTCTTTATCACGCCCAGTTTATCCGTTAGATTAACCATAGAGATACCGCACTAAATTTCATCACATTGATTTTTCAATTAAAATAATAGTTGATAACCCAACAGCAACTATGATCCTATAACTATGTGTAGTGATAAGAGTTTGAAATAATGTGGGATAGAGGAAATAAAAATTGAAAGATTTTATAATAACATATCTCATATTTTTTTTCTGGCATTTAAATGATTATAAGTACAAAAACTCTAAATTTTTTTAAACAACCCTGGTGTGATTAAGGTTTAAAAGATCAAGCCATTTGAGAAAACAACCTGTGCAGGCATGTCCTTGGTAGACATTGCACCACTAATAGCAGCTTCAGATGAGAGAGCAAAAGCATCGACAGGATCATCCCCAGCATTTAGTCTCTGCATGTAATGACAGAACATTAGTTCAGCAGGGAAGGATCTAACTTTAATGGTTCAAAGAGAACACATTCAATCGAAATTCAACCTCTTGAAGTAATTCTGAAGCTGGAATAAGAGCATCTAATAGTGTGCGGTAGCCAGCACTCGCCCCTCCATACTTACTCACAGCAGCAATAGCGGCCTGAAGTGCCAACACCCCTAATAAATAGCAGTTGTTAATGAACTCATATCTATGAATCCTATGATTGACATATTTAAAACAAATTTCAATCTTACATTCTTTAGATGTAACTGTGCCCTGGTTGGTAGACTTCAATTCAGCATATGCTGCCTTGAAGAGGATGTCATATCTGTTTCAAGAATAAAGCTCAAGTCTCAGTGCTTAGAGAGACCAAGAAAACAAAAAAAAAAAAAAAAACATGAACTTGTCCATGTGATAAGGGGAAGCTAAGATAAGTAGAAAGGAAAACTACCATACATTATACCACTTGTCCCTCCCATGACCCTTCTAATAGAAGATCCAATCTCCTTTACAGTCTCTGTTACATCATTCAAAGGATAACTAGATAAAAATAACAAGATATAAAAAGTTAGAATCTGCAACAATTCTTATAAACTAATCATGATAAGAGTTTTTATTAATAACAAATCAATACTATATTTAATAACAAGAAGATTTCAAGGAAATCTAAAGTGCCAGGTGGCCTCTTTTAATTTTAGGTTTAAAAAAAAAAAAAATTCATTCAATTTTCTCTTCTCTGTATTTTTTGTTTCCCAATCGACGCTACTCCGTATTATAGTTCCTTCATTAACTATTTACAGATAAATTGTTTGAAAATTCTTAACTGCTACCTTAACAATCCTCTTTATCTCTCCTCACAATCTGCCTGATTCTTCAAGGTTAGTTGTAATTTCCTTCCCCTTAATTTCTCATATTTTCAGTCACATTTTGTGTTTTAATTTTGTCCGAACTCTTCAATTTTTTATTTATTTATTTATTGTTATTTTTTTTTTTCTGATAATGGTGTTGAATGTTGATGGTGTTGAGGCAACAATTTTTCAATAATGTGGCTTTAGGGTGCATGCCTATGATATATGAATTCTGTCTAGCAAAGTTTATACTTTCATAGATTGGTAATGAATTTCGTTTTTCTTCTCCAATTCAAATAAAGGTATGAATTTAATCTTTAATCTCTTCTTACTACCATTAATAATATTAATTTGGGGTAAAATACTATTTTTCCAGCCTTTTCTCTTCCTGATTTGGAATTCAATATATTATTTTGATGAACTCCTCTGTTATAATCCTTTGTTATAATGAATACTTTTTTTTTTTTTTTGAAGAATTTTATAATGAATACTTCATATTATATACATTATTTATAATTTTGAACATTTTGACATTAATTTTTGTAGGCTTTTGTTCCATCTTCATTTGATAAATATTTTATTGTCTACTTCGAAAAATGCTCTTAATGTGTTACTGTATTATTTTGACATCAATTGTAGGAGGATATTGCTGTTTTTTTTTATAAAAAAAAAATAAAATAAGTTTTTTTTTCCAGAAGGTTCTCAGGTTTTTTTTTTTATTACTCCGTATTTTTTTAAATCAAATTCTATATGCATTGGAATCTAATACGTAACAAGGATGCTAACCTGTTTAACTGTGACCAACAACTAAAGGAATGCTTTGTATTGAAATTTTACTTTGGGTTCCTTTCAAGTCTACTTATACTATTGTCCCAAATTAATTTCTTTTGCTTTTTCTTTTTCTTTTTTTTTTTTTTTTTTTTTTTTTTGACGAGAAACTAATTTCATTTTCACCGTGCATGATTTTTATTTCTAATTTGGTTTGTTTCTCTATATTAATTTCATATTATGATGATGGCTTCCATATTTCTATCATATAATAATGGTAAAACAGTTGTATGCTAGTGTTGTTAATTCAGGTATATGGGTGAGTTGTGTCTAGTTGATTAGTTGGTTAGTCATGTCAGGTTTTTTTTACACCATTGTTATTATAATACTATACGAGTAAACGACATTTGTGGGATTTTGATCTAATTTAAAATTATGATTCATTTGATGATTGGAGATCATCCAATTTGTTCGTGTAGGGAACTTATGATTGAGTGTATGATGTAGTTTTTCAGGTGTGTATTTGTTATTGACATCACATTTTTCACATTTGATCTCTTTGTTCCAATTAGTAGTCCTACTTGCAGGGGATTACAAAGAGAAAAAATATACAAAATGGCTCAATCTGATAACAAGTCAATAAATTGGTTCATTGATTGTGACTGTAATTTAGACTGTAATGTTGCATCATTGTTTTTCTTTTATTTTTCCCATTGTTTCTTAGATATTTCATCCATAGAAGATCATAAAGTTACAGTTGGTTTTTAAACAAAAAAAAAAAAATACTATCAAGTAATAAATTGCCAAGAATTATTTACGATATAAGGTTTTCAAGATAAATAGATTGCTTTAAAAGGGTTTTTATTCAAGTGATACGAGGAGACGATTGGGCTTTAGATATGAGTTTTGATAGGAAATTATGCATGACTTTTTGAGTCCTAAGTTTTTACTGCTAATGCCAAAGCTTTTAAGTGCAGGTGAATCAACAATACAGGAAGAAAGTGAATGTCAATTTTGTGACTTGAGGAGAAAAAAAAATTATTATAGGTTTCATAGGATCCATTGATTTTTAGTTTCATTTGCTGAGCTTTTTCTATTAGCTTTCATGATTATTTCTAATTCAAAAGGCTCACAAATAATTGAAAGATATCATTTAGATGAATAAATATCACAATTGGCAATGCTTAGCTTAGGTTTAAGATTGTAGCAATTTGTTTTACATTATAAAACATTGGATCTCCTATTGAAAATGAAAATGTTAATTATATATGATGTATATATGGTACCATATGTTTTAGAATTTTTGTTAAAGATTTGGATTCATACCTTGCAATATTCTTAATTAATTTCATTCTCTTACTACATTAAAAATTTTAATTACATATACTTTGAGTTAAATTCAATCCATTAGCAATTTAAATATGCAAATGAACAATCCTTCCAAAAAAAAAAAAAAAAAAAAAAATAATTAACAAAAAAAAATAATTAACAAAAAATTTAACCCGTGCATTGCACAGGCTAAATACTAGTTACATTCATAAGAGGAAGGACCAAAGGCCCACTAAATTTTTGGAGGAAGTACGTAAATGATATGCATTGCCTTACAGAACTACTAGTAATAAAGAATTGATAGTTCAAAAAAAAAAAAAAAAAAAATAAGTCAATAAAAAATCACAATGCACTATCTTTGTACTGCTGCTACTCTGCTAGCACATTGAACTCCTACCAGTTATGAAACTCAGACTAAGAAAAGTGTAAGAATCAATAATATAGCAAGAATCTGTGATTTAATATAGTGGGGATAAGGCAGCATGAACAAAATTAGGATTTATAATTATAGATACCGTATGCAGGGACATCACAGGACATCATCAAAGATTTATTTATTTAAATAACTAGTTAAAATTGATCTACTAGTCAAGATTCAGAGGAATCTGAGAATCTCTTCCGGGTATTTATGTCCTTTTTTATAATATGTTTCTTTGCTTATTATATATATACATATTTTATCAAATACTCAATCAAAATAAAATATAGATGAATAATTAATTTGACCAAATCAATATAGCCATCTAAATATTGATGCATTTAGAGAAAAAATTTGAACTAAAACGGCCACTTTACCAAATAAGAAGATAGACCTGTTCTATTGGTCTCAGAACCTATGATTAGATTAAATGTAAACTGAGCATTGACTGATGGAATTCACTTCCAATCTGAGGCCAACTTTCCCCTCATAAATTCTTTTAAACAAAAATCCTACCCTAGTCTACTGGTATATGAAAAGAAAGGAGAGAAACAAAAGATTGGTTAGAAAAAAACAATAAACAAAAATAATACAGCACTCTCCAAGGCTTCTTCTAATCCATTGCTTGCCTGAGCTTTCTGCTATGCATTTCTCGTATCACTTTTCCCACAATCAGCTTAAGACCAACATTTAAAGTGACAGCTATTATAACCAAAAAAAATTGAAAAAAAAAAAAACCCTCATAAGTAAAGATCTATATGACCTTTCTCACCGATACTTCTAAGCTAAGTACCAAAACATTGACAATCAAACGCTAAGCTCAGTTGCAAGCCAAAACAACTTTAAGAAAACTTGAATCACCACAATTTTGACAGGACAACCTCACAGCACCAGTAAAACCTGAGTATCTGACAGCAGAGAAACTAAGCCACAGCATTGAACACTCAGCATAAATCTAGATCCTCTCAACCATTTGACACCAATCTTTGATGTATCATTCTTGTTGTTTCAAAATCTTACATTCTTTTGTAATCGAGATGGGAATATATGGACTTCCTTTATCTTTTATTCTTATAAGGATCACTGCAATACTAAGCAAGCTTCACCTGAAAGGTTTCCCCACCCGCCCCCTCTTCCTATCCCCATGTATAGTTGGCTCCCTCAACAATAAATCGTAGGGTAACAACACCAAGCATAGAAGAACAAATACCAACTATCATACTGCAGCTGATTAAATCTTCCATGATAAAGGGCATCAATGAATGCATAAAACAGCTAAAAGAAATGCGAAAAATAGCAGCAGGAAAAGCAAATATGAACCACTTATAGCTTCGTAACACATAAAAGATATTTCAAGCAAGTCATAAGTAACTTACTATTTTTTCATGTCTTCTAAAATTGCAGAAGCACCGCGAAACATCTAGAACACTCAAGTTATTAGAACTGTGTGGTGCACATCTCATAGTTGCAAGCATGTAAGATACAATGATACATAGAAATTAAGAAGGAAGTACATACAGTAGATCCACAATCACCATCACCAACTTTACTATCCCATTCATTAAGAGCATCCCTCATATTGATCAATTCACTGGCTGCAGCTTCAATAGCTACCTCAAGAGTATGACCTTGTTCACTTAATTCTTGTGGCCGAGTAGAGAGCTGGTGAATCAAAACCACAGTTAGCTTCATAAATAGATAAATAAAAATGGGTATTTGGAAATCGTGGTACATAGCTTGCTAAAATACTTTCAGTTGATAACACTGCATGAGCTAGTACACACCAATGATGACTGCAGTTAGTTTATAACATAAGTCCATGGTGGTCAAGAATGGAACTGCCAGAGGCTCAAAGAGATTGGTTTTGCTAGGTTAAGAAACATTATAAGAACCAGTGTACAGCTTGTATAGAGAGAAAAGAAACACGATCCACAATTAAAGTTGCAAAATTTTCTATCGGGTGATGTATCGACTTTGGATTACAATAGAATTATAAAGATCACTAAACTCTTCACTTCCAGGTCTATAAATGCAACTTATGATCAACGGTATAGCCAGAAGAGCCTCCTAGAAATCTAGAATTCATGGATAAAGCTGCATATAAATGAGAATCAGGCCACCAAAACCTGAAGGTTAGTTTAAGGAATTGGAAAAATAATACTAAAATAAAATGGATCCCAGACAGGAAAATGTGAAGACACTGACCATAATATAATTATAAACTCGAAAAGACCATTTAAATATGACAATATTTAAACATCTCCCTTGCTACAAATCAAATAAAAAATGGAAAGACTTAAGATACAGTTCCAATAACTCGTATATTTTAAACAGCTTTATGAATCCCTTCCTAGAACATGACAAATTATAATTTGCCAGAAAATGGAATATATTCAAACCAACACTGACAGGAGCGTCAAGGAGGGGCCTATATCCTCAGGCAATACTCAATTTCTAATAGAAGCATGACATACCTCATTGCACTTTAATAATGGAGATTGTGGAACTGGGACAGGAATCTTTGCAGGTGGGCGGTTACCTGAAAAATAACCACATGTAATGAAGTACATGGAAAGGACGTGATTTATTGATTGCCGAAACAGCTAGTGGGTTTTGACAATGATTTCTAATCAAGTAGAGGAAAATTAACAAAAGATATATCTCTGTATTTATCTTAAAGGTCGGGAATCAGATTAAGCCAAAAAGAATAAAAAATAAAATAAAACACAATTTCGAACCATTTACCATCCAAACCAACAGGCCAGGCTGGAGCCTTTGTTGGAGCATCTAATCGTTGCAGAATTCCTTCATCAACCTTCATGACAGTAATTGACAATCCTGACAGCATTGGAAAAATCAACCACAAAAGAATTACCCAAATAAAATACTCCTTTGCTTCAATAGGACCCTACCTGCCATGTCAAGGGAAGTCATAAAAGAGCCAGTATACACTCGATCAACAGCAAGTCCATGTTCCAACTGCAACCTAGGAACAGCTTTTCCTGCAGCAACCATCAGTTCAATCACAGGAGTGGCACCCAACCTGTGACATAAGAACAGATCACAAAATGTAATGCAACAGCAACGTAAATAACATGATAACGTTATCAATGCTTTCAAAACTTTAAATGAGTGTTCCTGTCTCCATGAAGTAGACGAAATCTAGAAAGCAATAAGCAAGGGATTAGCTATCATAAATGTGATAAGCACAATGAGGTTCCACGTTACACAAACTTGAAAGCAGACATCTCTATAATAGAGTTAGTTTGGGTAGTATTCAGTTATTCACAGATTAATAAAAGCAGAACAAGTCACACTAAAATTGTCTTAACAAGACATCTATCAAATAATTATGATTTTTTAAGAAATAAAATAAAATCCACACTACATACCAGTAGATCAGTAACATTGTCTGAAAGATAAACATTCCTAAGCTCCTCTTAACTAGTATTATCGTGAAAATTCATTAATTAAGGTAGAAAGAACAAAGACTTATACATGGCATATCAAATCTATCAATACCCAAATTTTTAAAGAGATTGTAGATGACATATACAGCACAAACAGTTAAAAACACTTCAAACCACCGAAGGCCTGTGAACCTACCCATTAATCATGAGGACTACATTATTTCCGCGTTCAATAGGCACGTACTTAGTTTCCTGCAATGAAAAGTCTATGATGAGGCAAGATACGATATGCAGGAAAAGATACAATAAACAGGCCCACCACAAGTTTGAAGCCAAATACCATATGAAGGTAATCATTTTATTGAGCTTCTACAGGTTTCCCAAAAGTCATAGGTAAAGTGAAATCAAATGTTAATAACTGAATTCCAAACCCAATGAACATGTTGTACACAAATTTATCAAACAATATCTTAAAACTACTAACAAAAGACTAATGCATTACCTTAGAAAGAAAGACATACATAGCGTCAGAAGCAAAGTGTCACTAGGATAAGTGGCAAAAAAAAGAGGGGGGGGGGGGGGGGGTGGGGTGGGAATAATGAATTACGTGTTCCCCATTTTTTGAAGCTCCTCTAGGATAAATCACTTAAAAACCCCACTTAAAGGCATAAGGGTTTTAGATAACCAGGCAGAGACAATTAAAAGAGAATGATAACATTTTTCTCAAAATCAAATGGACCACCCACATAGGCAAAAACACATCACACCCTAAAAGATACTAGTCACTAGTCAGCTCTCCCACAATCCATTTGATGAAGTTGCACATACTCAGGTTTTTTCTTCTTTTTTTTTAGCTTTTTTTTATTTGTGATGAATGAAAATTGTAATTATACAATTGTCAGAAGAATGTGCTGTCCTCACTCCTCAGTAAACAGCAAAAAGTTACAAAGACCCAGTTTCTCTAAATCTCTGAAATCAAGTAACTCTCAATCTCTCATAGCCTAATAAGGTACTTCGTACATGATTGAGAGGACCAGAAAAGATTTGCAAATCTTATTCCAATGTCCAACGAGAAACAACACGCTTAGATTTCTAATTTTGGTCCATCTAATTAAGAAAAGAAATTTGATAATAAAAAATCTAAGGTGAATTTTTCTAGCCAAGTAATTTTTAAAATTCCCCATCAGCCTTACAGACACACAATAAGTAATTTTACCCTACGCTCCCGAAATGCATCTGTGTATCCCAGCCAGATATTACAAAATCACCACTAAGCCTGGTAAGACTTGATCCGAACTTTTTTGCTCATTCTTAAGTTATTCCCCAGACCTTCTCCCCGTCCATCACCTCAGCCTTATAAGCAACCAAGGCACGCTTTTCAAAACCAAACTCGTTGAGCCCCCAAAGGTTACAAAACAAATATGCAGCAGCTCCAAAACAGTGAAAGTGAAAACCCAGCACTCCCCATACATATCAAAAAGCCTTCACCAGATATTACATTCCACCTAAGCATATCTAGCTAATGCCAAAGTCAAACAAAGCTCTCACCATAAGTGGAACTTTAGCCTTCCAAATAAATGCAAATTGTGAAAGGGGGGAAATCCAGGGCATATTTTACCAATGCAAGAATAACCTTAAAACAAAGCTTCTTCGTGAATCACCCGCTCACCTTCCAACAAAAAGATGGGATAGGACCTTGAAACAAGCTATGCACTCCAAAACTTCAGAAAAATTCACCATGTACCCTAATTTATTACTTCCTCCATTCTTAATTAGTTGACGTGTTTCATTTTGGCGCGTAAATTAAAGAAGGAAGTAAGATATATTTAAAATACTAAATTGCCCTCCACTTTACTCCCTCGCATTATCAATAGCCCAATGCTTTATCGTATCGTAATCTGGGACCAAATGTGGTCATCATCTTCATTGATTACAGGATTTTCTTAATCTCTCTTCTTCTTTTACAAGAACACTCACTGCACAAAATTCCAGAAGTCATCAATCAATCAATCAAAGCCTTAATCCCATAAGTGGAGCCGGCTACATGAACCAGATTTGATTATTTCGTGTAATCATCGACAAAGATCCTCCTCCATCCCTTACGATCCAGTGCCTCATCCTCATGCACGTCCATATACTTCATATTCTTCCTAACTCCTTCCAACCAAGTCATTTTCGGTCTCCCTCTCCCTCGTTTAACCCCTCCATGGTCCCACTCTTCCACTCTTCGTACCGGTGCACCCTCGGGTCTCCGTCTTACATGCCCAAACCAACGCAAAAGATTTACCCTTAGTTTGTTTGCAATGCATGCTACACCTACTTTCTTGCGAATAACCTCATTTCTGATTTATCTCTTAAAGTGTTCCTACACATCCACCTTAACATTAGCATTTCCTTAGAAGCCCAACATTCTGTACCATAGAGCAACATTGGTCTTATGGCAGTCCTGTAGAATTTTCACTGTAAGGGATGCTTCCGTCGCATAACACTCTTGTAGCCGCTCTCCATTTAAGCCACCCCGATTTAATCCCTGTGTGTCACGTCTTGATCAATGTCACCATTTTTCTAGATGATCGGCCTAAGATATTTAAAACATCGCTCATGGTCAAGTCATTTCCATCCAAACTCACCACCTCATTACTTGTCCCCCTCTGAGTACCAAAGCGGCATACCAAATATTCATTCTTACTTCGACTTAGTTTAAACCCTCTAAATTCCAACCTTTGCCTCCATTACTCCAACTTGGCATTAACCCCATCTTTAGTTTCATCCACCAAAAACGATATCATCCACAAACAACATACACCATGGGACTTCATCTTGAATTGGTCTAGTTACTTCATCTAGAACCGTTGCAAAAAGGAAAAGTCTTAATGCAAACCTTTGATGCAATCCAATTGTAATATGAAAATCTTTCGTCAGCCCTTCACATGTCCTCACATTTGTTGACACATCTCATCACATATCTTCCGTGGGATACCTTTCTTCAACATTGCCCACCAAAGTACCTCTCTTGGCACCTTGTCATATGCCTTCCTAAATCAATAAAGATCATATGAAGACTGTTCTTCTTTACCCTATAAAACTCCATCATTTGTCTTATCAAATGGATTGCTTCCATAGTGGATCTCCTTGGCATAAAACCAAATAAATTATCCGAAATGCTTGTGCATGCCCTCAATCTATGTTCAATCACTCTTTCCCACAACTTCATAATGTGGCTCATAAGCTTGATCCCTTGATAGTTAGTACAATCTTGAGCATCTCCTTTGTTTTTATAGACCGGGACCAAGGTTCTTTTCCTCCAATCTTGCGGGATCCCTTGTAGCTCTCCATATTTTGTTAAAGAGGTTTGTTAACCAATCTTACCCAACACCTCCACACCTCTATGTGTATACCACCAGGGCCAACCGCCTTCTTACGCTTCATCTTCTTCGGTGCAATCTCCACCTCTACCCTCCTAATCCTCCGCGCATACTCCATGTTGATTTCTTCGAACACTCACAGAGATATCTCCTTTCACCACTCCATTACTTCCATTAAACAATTAGATTTTTCACCATATACCCCTGAGTTATTTTTTTATTCACCATAAATCCAAATAAAATTTCAAATTCACCGTATGCCCCTTAATTTAACAAAAATGTCACAAAATGCCCAAACGACTAACGGACGTTAACTTCGTTAGTCATTAAGGCTAAAGTTTGCCACATGGCATTATTGGCTATTTTTTTTATTTTAATATAATTATACAATTAATTATAAAAAATAAAAAATAAATAAAAACACTCACCGCCGCCAGCCCAGCACCGTCACAATCCCCGCACCAACGCAACCCCTGCATCGACACAATTCCCCGCACCGTCGAAATCCCCCAAACCAACACAACCCCCACACTCGACAACCCCCGGGCTCCACTGGCACAACCCCCGTATTCGAAAACCCATTCATCTCTCACTCGAAAAACCCTCTCCCCCCCCCCACTGCTGACATCCAAACCCCCATCCACGTGCCGGCGAACCCAAACCACCCCTCCCTCTGCCATATCCACCCCGTCAAACACCATGTAGAAACCTCAAATTAAAAACCCAAAATTCAAAAGCTAGGGTTTCAATTTTGGGTTTTAAGGTGTCGGGATGGTGTTTTTTCCGCCAAATTGGGCGGCGACGACATGGGGGAGGGGACCTAGGTTTGCCAGCGAACGAGTTTCGGTGCTAGTTGCCTGATTTCGGCGCCGACCGTTTGGAAGGGGAGGGTTTTTTCGTGGGTATTTGGTGGTTTTAAGGGTGCGGGGGTGACGAGGTGGGTTTGGGTGGTGGTGCGACGAGGGAAAGGGGAGGGTCGATCGCCGGAGTGGGGGAGAGGGGGTTGCTGAGTGGTGGAGACGTGGGAGCGGTGAAAGTGGCCGTTCGCCGGAGTGAGGGAAGAGGGGAGAGGGCTGGGTACGGTGATGGTTTTTTTAAAAAAAAAAAAATTAAAGTTTTTTAATTAAATAAATTTAATGACAACCAATCATAAGCTGTCACGTGGCCTAATTAGCCTTAATGACTAACGGACTTAACTGTCGTTAGTTATTAAGGGCATTCTGTGACATTTTTGTTAAAATCTTGGGTATATGATGAATTTGAAATTTTTCATGGGTATTTGGTGAATAAAAAACACAACTCAGGGGTATATGGTGAACAACCAATCATCAAAGTACCCCTTGTCCTCATCTTTTGACACACTTTATCATGCCAATATCATTCCTTGCCTCTTGTCTTCTCTTCGCCATCTTATAAATGATCTTTTCTCCCTCCTAGGAGTCAAGCTTTTCATAAAACTCTTGATAAGTCTTTTCTTTCGCTTGGCAAACAGTTGTCTTTGCCTTACTCTTAGCCTCCTTATATGCTACAAAAGTTTCGTCGCTCCTACATTTTCAGTAGGCTTCATAATACTCTTTTTTGCTTAATTATTGCTTTCACCTCTTCATTCACCACGAAGTATCTCGCTGCATCGAAGTTCTCCCCCTTGATTCCCCTAAGACCTCTTTGGCCACTCTCAAGAAACAGTTCTTTATCCATAAGCAAGTCATGTCTGGATCCATCTCTCCATCCCAATCAGCCTCCTTAATTACCTTTTCTGTAAAAACCTTAGCACTTGCATCCCTTAGAGTCCCATCTTATCCTTGGCTCCTCTTGTCTTCCTTTTTTCTTCGCCTTCTCTTTCAAACGAATATTCATAACCCAAAGCCAGTGTTGGGTAACCACACTCCCTCCTGGGATGACCTTGCAGTTTAAGCAACTTTGTCTATCCTTGCTCCTTGTGAGCAGGAAATCTATTTATGTCGCATTAGCTCCACTCCGAAAAGTTATCAAGTGCGAATCTTGCTTCTTAAACCAAGAATTAGCCAAAATTAAATCATATGCTTGGCAAAATCCATAATAGCCTCACCACTTGCGTCTCCCTGCCCATACCCAAAGCCTCTATGAACCCTCTCGAAGCCATCTTGGCTCACCCCAACATGCCCATTGAAATCACCTGCAACATATAAATTTCTCCGTGTGGTGGAAACCCTATACCACCTCATCAAAATACTCCCAAAATAAACCAACTTGGGAGTATGAACACTAATAACATACACAATCTCCTTGCCACATAGCAACTTCTCCCTTATCAACCTCAATTACCTCTTTCGACAACCTCTCATCGAGAATCACACCAACTGCTTTCCTAGCTCCACTATTCCTAGTCCTGTGGCTCGTTTCCTGTCCAACATAGCACACCTTATACCCCAAAACCAAGCCACGAGCTTCTTCTCTTGTCCACCTTGTCTCTTAGAGGCACATGATGTTTACCCGTCTTCTCTTCATCATTTCTACCACTTCTACTGATTTCCCCGTAAGAGACCCCACATTCCAAGAACCAATTCGCAAACTAGCGTCCTTCCTCACACGCTCCCTCCTACCACGCTCACTAGTACCACGCTCCCTCATGCCCCCACCTGCAAGCCCTTGATCATTTGACACCACACTTGGCAATGTGGCGCGTCGCTTCCATGCGACGACCTAGCAACCCTTGCATACTTATCACTGCACCCGAGAAGTACAGCGCGTCGCTCAGTAGGGAACGCCCCAATGGCACGCCCTTACTCATAAAAAATCTCAATCAATTAAAAAAAAATAAAAATATTCAAAATATTATAAATTAAAAATTCTAGAAGTCATATAGATTAGTTATTCAAAATTAATTAAAAACTCTTAATCAATTAAATTAAACTATAAACTTCATAGTTAAAACATCAATAAAACATTGATTTTAATTGTTAATATAAAACCTCATTTACGGAGGATAGGGGAAAAAAAATATAACGAAGACTCAACAATGGCTACCACTATTCTTCAAGCAAATCCTTTGATTTTTTTTTTCTCAAATATTTCCATAATGTTTCAATTAATAATAATTGTATGAAAATTGGAAACTTTTAAAAAAAATGGTTTTTAGCTTCTTTATAATGAGTGACAAGGTGAAGATCGAGTAGGAAAAAACATGAAAGACCAAATCACCCCTCCACTCCTACCCTTCCCTTCCACCCACACATACAGTACTACAACAGTACTACATCAATCTCACCACCACAGCCGGCTACGCTGCACCTCAGCCATCACTTCACCCAAACGCTCCCCTTCACCACCACAACCGCCTACGCCGCATCACAACCACCACTTCACTACAACCACTCCCCCTTCATCGCCCCTATTCAGGCCACCACCATACCGTTTTTTAATTTTTTTTAGAAAAAGCACCTTCTTCACCACCACCACTGAAATAGAGGAACAAGAGGAGAGAAAATAACGCTCTAGCAACCACCGTGCATACATGAGCATTTTTTTAAAAAAAAATATTGAAAAATTGAAGGTCGAATTTGGTTGTGGTGGTTGTAGATCGTACATACCACCACCAAAATAAACACAACAAAAGAGAGAGAAAATACCCATACTATAATCACCTTTACCCGATCAACTTTTAAGAAATTGAGATTCAAATACCCATACATGTAGGTTTGTTTTAGATCTGGAATTGGCAGCCAAATTTGACACCGTAGCCTCGATTTTGGACTTTTGGTAAACTTTTAAGTACATCGACAATGGTGGAAACAGCCGGAGGTGATGAGAGAGTATGATGGGAGAAGGGAGGAGGCTATTGTCGGTGAAGAGGAGAGATAGGGCGGTGATTAATGTTTAAAAAAAAAAAGTGGGGTGGTGGTTGTGGTGGCTTCCATGGTTAAAGTGGAGGAGAGAGGGAGGATGTGGTGGTGGCTGGTACTCAATTAAACTATGGGGTGAGGAAGAAGGAAAGGTTGAAGGGTATACTGTAGTGTTATATTGAAAAGGTTATGAGGGTAAATAAGTTAAAGTGTAGTGTTATATTTGCCATAAAAAGAAGCACGTCAAGTAAAAAGAAACTTCCCAAAAAGAAATACACGTCGGGGGAACCTGAAGTCTGGTAGAAAATCAGAATCATAGTTAGTAGTTTGAATAGAACCGGTGTCGTAGCGGGAAGCAAGGCAATGAGAATTGTTCGGTTGGGATTCTGTGAGCAAGGAAGCAGAGGCAGAATTGAACTCAAAAGCAACTTACCAATCCAAAAACTTCGCTTTAGCCACTCGCTACGCCCCTTAAGCTTTAATAAGCGATGTAATACTAATACAGCTGACATTTGTTGAAAAAATCCTCCTAGAAAAAGGAAGTTGTCAGAGGTAGACTCGGCATCTCGCTCACCTGCAAATCAGACTTATAAGGGAACCATTCTCTCGCGCCTCTCCCTGAGAGTCTCTTCAGCCTAAAGCTTACATCCACCCTCACCCATTCATGGATCTCTTTACCTTCTAAGTAATAAAGAACGGAGGAAGTAATTTATACGGAGTAATAGTTGTTTGATAATTCTGGAGAGAGAAAAAACATAGGGAGTATTGAGTTGATGAAAGAAGCATAGAAGAGAAAGAGTGAGTATGGAGAGGAGGGGGGAATGTTTATTTCATTTGGGACAAAGGAGAGAGATGTGTACGGACCGTACGGCCGTATGAAGGAGAGAGGATAGAGAAGTGTCTACGATCAGCATTATGGAGATAAAAAAGAAGGGTATAATTGGCATCTTACAATACAAAACACACCCAAGAAGAAAACATGTCAACTAAAAAAAACTTCCCTAAAAAAGAATGTGTCAACTAAAAATAATGGAGGTAGTATGTAATTCCCAAATTACACTCACACAATGACTCCATTTAACTCCTATTAACTTATTGTGAAAAATGTTTATAATCTATTGGGTACCCCAATATTTACCATTTTTATGAAATTTATGCTCCTATACAACATCTCAATACCCCCATTCTGTCAGCATCTTTATGTACTCTTTTTTTTAATTTGTCCTATTTGCTTTTTACATAGTTTTCAATGCAATATTATAATTTAATATAATAAAACATCATTTGAAAAATCATAAAAAAATGCATGATTGAAAGCCAAAAATCAAAACGAATCTAACAAGATCACACATGTCTATATTTTGAAGTACTAAAAACTCAATAAAGCATTACATTCCACTTGCATTGGAATCTTGAAGATAAAAATGAACTAAAGGAACAGGGATTAGAAAAAAAAAACCGAGGTAGTGTTATGTTACTTAGACACGGCCATTTTAGGCTCATACCTGGTTCAACCCGACGCGACAAGGATCCAGGGTTCCGTAGCGGATCCGCGGAGAGAGGGAAACCGAAAAGGCCAATCGGCTTACCATTGCTTACTTGTTCATATTGGATGAATAATAGGAGGAGCAATAATTTAGGATTTCAAAATTGGTACTTTTGTTAAATGTACAATCCCGGACGTAAAGATGCAATTTTTTGTCAATTTGGTCTTAGCTGGCGCCAATCAAGGAAGCCACACTGGTCTTCTAATCTTCTCTTTTTTTCCCCTTTTCTGAAACAATCTTCTCTCATTTTAAGAGTTTTTTTTTTATTTTTGTTCGAGGCTTTCTGTCATTAGTTGTTATACGTCTGCAAATGTTAGTTGACTTCTATTTCCTAATTTCCCATCCCCGTACCGGTGTGTGTTAGGATAGGGTCCCCGTGTATTGAAATTTCAGTTTGTCGTGTCCGACACACACGTCACGAGTCCGAGTAACCCTGGTGGTGCCTATATAGAAACAGAGGGTTATAGCCAAATAAGCTCTCATGTTATGATGCAATATTTCATCCATGAAATCACAAAAAGCAAAGTTTGGCTAATCCTATAAAGATTCAACACAGAAGAGAAAGAAAAGGTTATCGAAATTTCTTTTTTTTTTCTCCCTGCAGTTCCGTACTTAATCCGACATTGACAAAGGAGTCAGAAAGTTCAAGAGCAATAATTGCATCATGTGTCACGACAATCCAATTTAAAAAATAAATAAATAAATAAAAAAAAAAAAAAAGGTTGATCACCCATGGGGCCATGGCCATAAGAAAGAGAGAATTGAAGCTTAAACATCTCCATTTGCAGAGACGTACCGGTGATAATATTTGCATAAGAACATGAGCAACAACCACATCGACAGGTTGCAAATCAGCCACAGCAGCACCAAGTTCTCCATGCTGTAAAAACATAAAATTAGCTTAGTGAGTATTCAAAATAGATAAGTTTTCGTATTGCCTTAATTTTTACTAAATATTAACTTTGTATGAGACGAAAAGAATGATAAACCAGCATATTGAAAACATCAGCAGTTCAGCACAAACTATTTTCAGCCAAAGGAACCCGCCAAGACATAAGCACATAACAGTAACAACTAATAAACCTAAGCTTTCTGCTGTATATTTTTTAATATTGTAGTCCACCAAGGAATAGGCAACATTATTAATAGCCAAGTATTTCCCATAGAGATGTCAGAAAATTACCCGACCCAAGAACAACCCAACCAAAACCGAAGTGGACAAAGCATGTTTGGGCTATAGCTCAACAGCAAGAGAATATATGGGGGAAATGGGTTAATTGTACCTGAGGACTCAATATTGGTTGGATTATCAGCCTAGTAAGGATACATGCTGGTAATGGAAGCAAATCTGTGCAATCAAGAGAAAAATGAAGAGTGTAATGGACTGTCATAACAAGATCAGCAATATGTATGAAGTTTTCAGGCCTCATCTCCCAAGGTGCAGTTGGGACAATCTTGTTTGGGAGAAAGAGGCAGCTCATAAGCATAAGTTTATAGCTTGGCTTGCTGTTCAGAGCAGACTCAAGACAAGGGATAGGGTAATTAAAATTTGGGACTGATAATGATGGGAGTTGCCTATTATGTGGGGATAGTGAGGAAAACCATGAGCACTATTTCAAACATGATGTTATAGCCAGAAAGTGTGGGAGCAGATGATGTGGTTTCAGAGCCAACTGAAGAGTCTAACAAGAGCTATCAGAGCTGCTAGAAGAATGAAATCAGGATTTGAGATATGTCTTTTCAGAGCTTGAGGAATGTAGCATCCTTGGATCTGAGAATTTTGTCCTTGTATATCAAACCTAAATTTCTTTGCATGATTTCAAAGAAATGAAGTAGGGAAAATAGGAGGTGGTTGGAAGAGCTAAATGTAAAGCTTTTTGCTGTTTTAGGCTTTTGCCAGGGAAAAAAACCCTAAGTGACCCAAATAAACTAGATCTCGCCTTCAATCTGCATGGACACACTATACCTTGCATAACTATTTCATAGTAGACCCAACCCGAGATCGGCCCACAGACCCAATTTAACAGCTCTAATTCTTTAAATAAGAATATCAAAGAAGTAGGGTGCACTCCATAAACAAAAAAAATAATAAAAAATAATTTAAGCCAAAACAAAGACACACACATAGCCACATAAAAGTAGCACTACACAAATTCAAGTATTGGCTTACTATTCCAAGACCAAGCTCCATTTTCCCAGGGCCCAAACGGTCTGATGTGACTTGACCAGGAAGGGTGCACACAGATAATGCAACACCCATAGTTCCAACCATTTCAGATGCTCTTCTAGCTTCAGCTGTAACTTCAGTAAGGGAGCAACCAGCAGCAGCTGCCGCTCCAGCAACCTACACCAGGTAGGTGTCAAAACAAATAAAATAAAATAAAACAAAAGGTAATGAAAGGCCCCATTACAAAAACACTTTTTAAATAAGTACAGCAAGACAAACCACCCATGGAATAAAAACTCAGTCATTCTGTCAAATATCAACCATTCTGTAACAAAGTATGGATTTGCCGTTCAGCAAAACCCGGCTATATATAACACCGTAACAAAAATACACGAATTTTAGATTTGCCAATCAGTGAAACCTGGCTATATAACGCCGCGACAAAAATCACACCTTTCTCCCCGCGTTATCCATTAGGTAATGGTGACTCGCCGTGCATTAGAACGTTTTTTTTATCCGTTACATCCATTCTTTTGCTTTAATTGACAAAAAAAATATTTTAATAATTAGTTATATAGTCCATAAAACATAATATTTTGTAATTTTTTGTTCGCCAAATATGTTACCCACAAAAATGTGAATTTTTTGAAAAAATTCACACCGCGTTTGCTGCGATCTGTTTTATTATTTCTTCACAAGCCGTTTAAGCAAAAATGCAGCCATTCTCCAAACACCTAATCACGTAATGATATTAAAGAAGGCATCAGTCTCAAGTATCTTTTCATTCCTTTCTAAACAGAGCACCTATAAAATAGCAAAACATGCACATTGCCACATAGTTTGTGTACCTCACACCTTTTCCAAGTCCTCAATACTTCTCTTGAAAAGACAAAAAGAAAGAGGGAAAAGCCAACTAACTCCACCTTAATAAAAAAACCTCATCCAAAGTAAAAATAAATAATTTCATAATCTTTCATTAATGCAATAAATGGCCAACAATCCTGCAAATTCTCACACATAAAGAATTCTCCAAACTAGCAACCAAAACAGAAACTTTGACTGGCTTCTAAATCTTAGCCTCCAATAATGTTAGAGACAGGACAAGGCTGCAAATCAGGACAATTAATACGTGGCTACAGAAAGAACGACAGTACTGGAATCAGAAGCCTGCCAAATTTTCTAAATTATCATAGAATTTATTAATTACAGGCTGAAAAACAAACAATCTCTCCCTGGTAGAGGGGGTCCTTCTACCGGGGTTAGTTGGGGCCCAGCCCCCTGCAAATTATTTTGATCTACTAGTTATTAAACTAAAATAACCCTATTATACTTATAAAATGTCGCTGCATAATTATTAATTTTGACAAAGTGTTAAGAGATTCAAATCTCAGCCCCTCTGATATTTTAGGCCAATACCCAACACTGCTCCCTGGTCTAGTTACTCCTAAGTCTTGCTATTTTCAGGTGTGCCACTATGGCAATATCTTGACTATTAGATCATACATTTCCTATCCCTATGACATCCAATCTACGCGGCATAATTACTCTATGTTCAAAAATTCCTACACATCATAGCATATAAGTTCCATTCTTGTCATTTTCAATGCTGCATTCATGTTTAAGGTCAATTTGATGGTTATACTGCATTATGTTCATGTAATTTCAAAACTTTTCAGAGATAAATAGAGATACAGGACAATTTCACTTGGCACTAGGCAGAAGGGAAATTTTCAAAACCAGTTATCTTACGTCAATCCATTTACCCATCACTCCATAAGTACAAATGTGGAAGTCTCATCACTACCATCTTACATAAACCTGTTTGCCTGAAAACCAAGACACTTGGTGTAGACTACACTGAAACCAAATGCAGTGCACTTCATTCTCATTCTCATTTTTGTCCATAAAGGGGAATAGCGACTATGAGCCTTATAGAAGTGGCAAAGAAGGTGTGAAAGTGACTTCCAGCAAGTGTACAATCAGGAGAAAGAAACTCAGAAACAACCTTATGGACGAAAATAGTTCCCGCCAAACCTCGACGTCCAGCTATCCCTCTAGGAGGTAAAGCACAATCATCTCCTACTATGACCATCTACAAAGCAAAAGTATAACCCATCACATAATTCTTGTTAAAATATTACATAGACAAGGAAAATTAGTCATATACCTCGACTTTGTAACCTTCAGATTTTGCTTGTTCAGCTGCCAAACCAAAATTAAGGCGATCCCCTGTGTAATTCTGTTATAAGAATATAGAGTTAGATACTCACAATCAGACCTTTAAGGTAAAGATGTGTCCATCTAAGAGACAACCATACAAAGGAGTGAATGAGGAAACATTAAATGTGGTGCTCATACTATTCAGCAACTAAATCAATGCACAATGCTACATAAATAGTCCAACCAAAAGTATATCTACTTTACAGCCAAAACAAAAACATTGAGCCCTCTCGCTATTGTCAGATCAGCAGTCAGTTTCTGTCACCCCTAGCAAGCTTCATTACTACAAGGTAGGGAATAATCAAAGTTAGAAATCTTGCTTAACTAATTGTGATACAGTGCTCAAGATGCAAGCAACTCTTCCAATAATTTTTTATTTTTTTTTAGAATGAGAAAATTTTAACCACTTAGACATTGCAAAGATTGAGGTCTGGTACTCTACCATAATAGATAACAATCAAGTACAGGCATACAGCATTGAATTTTCTACATACATTAGCATTAGAGGTGGAAATCGTGCCAGGCAGTGGATGGGCCGGTCATGCTGGCTTGGTGGTGGCGGGCTGGGCTGGGCTAAGCCATCAAATTGCAGACCCCAGCCCACGGCATGCCACGTCCCACGTGCCTTGCGGGCCGGGCCGCAGGCCAGCCCTTTCTTTATTTTTTAAAAATCGATATATTATTTAAATAATTTTATTATTTTTATTTTGAGTATTTAAAGTTCTTTATATTAATATGGTTCTTTTTATTTTTTATGTTCTTTTTATTATTACTCCCTCCGTCTTCTAATAAGTGTTACACTTTGACCGGCACATAGTTTTAGGCAATTTAATTGACGTAAATAAAATAAGAGGTAAGTGGGGTATTTGGAGTATTAAAAAATTGTAAAACAAAGATAGTACTCCCTTCGTGTTTTAGTAAGTATTACACTTTGACCGACACATAGTTTTAGGCAATTTAATTGACTTAAATAAAATAAGGTAAGTGGGGTAGTTGGAGTATTAAAAAATTGTAAAAGTAAGATAGAGTGGTTAATAGTTTATTGAAAAGTAATGAATGTGAGATGAAAGAAATAATAATAAATAAATAAATAAATAAAAAAGTAGTAGTGGGTTTTGATGGGGACCATGAGAGGTGAGAGCTATATTATTAAAATGTAGTTTTTTGCCAAAAAAAAATGGAAGTGTAACACTTATTAAAACACGGCCACATTTGATAAGTATAACACTTATTGAAACACGGAGGGGATAGGGTTAATATTTATTGAAAAGTAATGAATGTGAGAGGAAAGAAATAAAAAAAAATAGTAGTGGGTTTGAAAGGGGACCATGAGATGAGAGAGATATAATATTATAATGTAGTTTTTTGTAAAAAAAAAAAAAAAAAAAAAAAAAAAAAAAAAAAAAAAAGTGTAACACTTGTTAAAACACAGCCGCATTTGGTAAGTGTAACACTATTTAAAACACAAACACGGAGGGACAGAGAGAGTATAGGTCTTTATTATTCTTATTTTTATTATTATAGTTCTTATTTATGTCGATAACTACACGGAATAATCAAATTTGGTTCATGTTAGCCGACTCCACTTATGGGAGTAAGGCTTTGATTGATTGATATAGTTCTTTATTATTATTTATATTATTATAGTTCTTTTTATTTTTTTTATTATTTTTATACTTCTTTATTATTATTTAGCAAATATCAACCATGCATATTGTTTCGGGGTTTTCTGATGTCCTGCGGGAGAGTTACAATTCCGAGACTGGAACCGGACGCCTGTACCTGCAAAACAAACGGATGCTCCGGATGATTGGAGATCCGCCTCCGACGGTCAAGTTAGTACTTGATTAAGGAGTAACTAATGCGAAAATTAAAGTGATTGGCTCTCTCTAGGTGAGAGTGTTTAATGTGTGTAATCTGCTTTTTAGCGTGTAATCTCCCTTAATGAGGATTAAGGGAGGTATTTATAACCTCGGAAAACGTGTCAATCTAGGTTTAGGTTAACATTGGGCTGATTGGGCTTCCCTCGGATGTTGGGCCTAGGTGACCGGTTATCCCAGGTGTCATGGGAAGGACACGTGTCGTGTCGTAATTGGTCCATAGTGGACGGATCATTGCTTGACACGTGGCAGGCTCCTATTGGCCCATGTGACGGACACATGGCGGAACCTGATTGGTCCACTTGTCAGATGGTGATTGGTGGGGAAAAATCCCCTAATCACATATATTTGGAAAATTTACGAATACTACATACGAGGATCTAAGTATAGTATAGTAATTAAAAATAAGGAATACATACTTCATATTATTATTACATGAAAGATTGTTTAATTAACTCAAAGTCTAATACAAGTCGAGACTCGAGAGTAACGCATAAAAAATAAAATAAAATAAATTAACAACATTCCTATCTAATTAAAGAATGATAAAAATCGTACAATAATTGATAAATAACTTATTTTATTATAAATAGTATTTCTTCTTCTTCTTCTTCTTCTTCTTCTTCTTCTTCTTCTTCTTCTTCTTCTTCTTCTTCTTCTTCTTCTTCTTCTTCTTCTTCTCGTTCAAGGTCATCAGCTAGAGAAGAACTGTTAGAACTCGGCGTTCTATCATCATCGTCGACGTTCTATGCATAAGTACGACCTTGCGAGCGATTTTCGACATCGAACCAATCCTTAAAACACACACACCCAAGTGTTTCCGGTTTTAGACTTGTTCTTCTATCATTTAAAACCCTTCCTCGAGCACTACATGCTCTTTTGGAGGCAATGGAGGAGACTTGGATATCGAAAATATCACGTGTCATTGCCGCCAATATTAGATATTTAACGTTTTGTGCTTTCCACCAATCAAGGATGTCGAGGTCTTACTTCTCTTCTTCGTCCATGCCTTTTATGAAGTCGTAACTTAAGTACATTTACAACTCCGAAACATCGCTTTGTGTTTTCATAGACGATGATTTACTACCTGAAAACTTAGACATCATGTTAGCAGCTTGTGCAAATAAACCTTTGACCCTTTTACTTACGTTTTTGGATGATTGAGAAGAAGCAAATCGAGAAACGGTTCCATATTTAGATTCATAACTTTATATAATGCAAAAAGTGATAGGTCACATTAACTTTATAAGACTCAACATTATCATTAAATTGCGTGCATTGAAAAATAGATATCAATTAATAGAAGTGTGCCATCATACTTTTGTCTTCGGTCTAATATAGAAGCAAAAATATAAAACATAGGAATATTAGTGTAATATTTACGCCATTTTTCCTCCATTGATGGAAGATATTCATCATAATCGTGTCGGGATCGATGTTCAGCAAAAGGAATGTAAACATGCATGGCTAAGAAAAGATTGAGAACAAGGATTATAAACAGAAGAAAAACAATTTATCATACTATATACTACCTCCGGTTCTTATTACTCGCAACAAAAGAATATTTTGTGTCTCACGAATAACACCCCTTTGTCGCGAGTAATAAGAACCGGAGGTAGTAATAATTGTAAAAAATGCATATATTTTTCACAATTAGACTAATCATCTTCTATTAAAGCAAATTACGGAAACTTTTGATTAAAAAAGAACTGTTATTAGAACCTTATACTCGATAGTCTTACTAAACATCTCATAGGTGGAGAACCACCTAGTTTGACAATCCATTTTTATTTTGATACCCTTTATCTTTTGATGCCTAAGAAAAGTTTTCCATTCCTGAAATCTCATGTTAGACCTGTTAATAAAAATAATAGCATTTCTAATTTGTGATAAAATGAACCTATTGCATGAGTTCCATCCTTCACACACAAGTTAAGAACATGACAAATGCATCTAATATGAAGTGTATCTCCAACTAATATGACGTCGGTCAATTGTTGTTTAACTAAATTTGCACTATATGTCATGGATGTTGCATCATCAAATGTCATAGACATGATTTTGGGCCTAAGATTATATGGATTAATAGCTTGCATTAAATGATGAGAAATATTAAGACCTGTGAGGAGTTTTAAACATTTTAAAATGGATAATGCGTTTTTGTAAAAACCAATCATTATCCACCCATTGACAAGTCACATACAAATAGGATATCCATAACCACTATCCTACACATCTGCGGTCAAAGAAACTCTACAAGTAAGATTACTTAATTCTTCAACCAACCTCATTTTGTACTCTAAGAAAAAATTCATGGCAGCTGAACGGACAGTTTTTCCATTGTGTTGGGGTTGTAGTGATTTATTAATGTAATTGTTAAATGGATCATTATCGGCGAAAAGAAAAGATTGTTCAGCATGCACTAACATTCTCCCACGTTCATCCCTATCTCTCACATATTTTAAGTGAAGCCATGTGGATGGTATTGAGAAATTTTGGGGGTTTAGTTGGATCACTAGATGTTTCACCACATTTTCTTACATGTCTTTTTAGGTGCCCCGTGTATGGTAGTCCAACACAATAGCGATCCGGCACGGTACGACACGAGCCCGCTTGCGGCCGGACACGGCACGAGTGGGCCGTGCCGTGAACAAAAGTGGGAAAATTTGGCACAAACCTGACACGAGCCCGCGAGCAACACATCCTTTAGGCCCACCAACACGGCATGCGACACAACACGGCCCATCCGAGAAACGGCTATATTAACAAGAGATATTTAAATAAAATATAAAAATATTAATTAGATATTTAAAAATATTTTTTTTTTATATTTTTTATATTTTTTTATAAAAAAAAAAATTTATAAAATTTTTTATATTTTTTTAAAATTTCTTTTTTTTTAATATTTAAATATTAAATAAATATAAAAAAAATTTATATTTTTATAAAAAATAGTAGTAGGGAATCACCAAATCCATACAATTCAATGCCCACAATTCCCCAACCATTCCGAACACTTCAATCCCCTTCTCCCAAACCTAACCATGAGAGAATTCGATCAATATAACAATATGCAACCTTGGAATATTTCACCCAAACCAATTCTCACCTCACTTATACGACTTACAACATGATTTTGCTTATCAAACTAGCCAAATGAGCCAAACATATACCGCCAGGTCTAGTGAACTTTCTACCGAAAATGCTGGAAATGTTACTCCCCAAATTCCAAACCGATTAGAACAATGACGTACCGGAGAGTAAATGGCCGCTAAGACAAACCGAAAGAGTAGGGTTTGGAAATATTTTTTGTTAAGAAGAGATGAATCCATAACTAAGTTTAAAACATGTAACAAAGATTTCACGGCCGAAACCAAGTCCAAGGCAGGGCACCTAGGTAGACATGTCCATAAATGTGGTGAACCATCTAGTGATCCAATTCAACCTAAAATTTCTCGAATACCGTCCACATGGCTTCACTTACAATTATGAGAGGGATAGAGATAAACTTGGGAGACTGTTAGTACATGCTGAATAACCATTTTTTTTTGCTAAAAATGATTCGTTTAACAATTACATTAATAAAGCACTACAACCCCAACACAAAAAAATCTCTAGAAAAACTGCCCGTTCCCATGAAAACTCTTTAGAGTAAAAGATGGAGGTTAGTTGAAGAATAAGTAATCTTACTTGTAGAGTTTCTTTGACCGCAAATGCATGAGATAGTGGTTATGGATATCAGTATTTATGTGTGACTTATCATTTGGTGACTAATGATTAGTTATTATAAAAACGCATTATCCATTTTAAAATGCTAGAATACCCCCACACCGATCTTAACATTTCTCATCATTTAATGCAAGATATTGATGCATATAATCTTAGACCCAAAATCATGTCTATGACATTTGATAATGCAACATCCATGACATATAGTGCAAAGTTAATTCAACAACAATTGACCGATGTCATATTAGATGGAGATGCACTTCATATTAAATGCATTTGTCATGTTCTTAACTTGTGTGTGAAGGATGGAACTCGTGCAATTGGTCCATTTTATCACAAAATTAGAAATGCTATTATTTCTATTAACAGCATGAGATTTAAGCAATGGAAAACTTTTCTTAGGCAGCAAAAGACAAAGGATATCAAAATCAAAACAAATTGTCAAACTAGGTGGAACTCCACCTATGAGATGTTAAGTACGGCAATCGAGTAAAAGGTTCCACTAACAAGTTTTTTAATCAAAAGTTTCCATAATTTGCTTTACTAGAAGATGATTAGTCTAATTGTAAAAAAAAATATATGCAACTTTTACCATTAATATATAGTATGACACATTGTTTTTCTTCTATTTATAATCCTTGTTTCAATCTTTTCTTAGCAATGCACGTTTACTTGCCCAACTTTTCGCTGAACATCGATCCCAACACGATTATGATGAATATCTTCCATCAATATAAGGAAAAATGGCGTAAATATTACACCAATCTTCATATGATTTATATTTTATCTTCTATATTAGATCCAAAACAAAAGTATAATGACACATTTCTATTAATTGACATTTATTTTCAATGCATGCAATTTGATGATGATGTTAAGTCTTATAAAGTTCATGTGAACGATCAATTTTTTGCATTATATAGAGTTTATGAATCTAAAAATGAAACCGTTTCTCGATTTGCTCTTTCTCAATCATCCCAAAACGTAAGCAAAAGTGCTAAAGGTTTATTTGCACGGCTAACATAATGTCTTAAGTTTTCCGGTAGTAAATCATCGTCTATGAAAACACAAAGCGATGTTTCAGACTTGCAAATGTATTTAAGTTACGACTTCATGAAAGGCATAGACAAAGAAGAGAAACACGACCTCAACATCCTCGATTGGCGGAAAGCACAAAGCACGAAACATCCAATTTTGGTGACAATGGCACGTGGTATTTTCGCTATCCAAATCTCCTCTATTGCCTCTGAAAGAGCTTTTAATGCGACAGGAAGAGTTTTAGACGAAAAGAAGTCTAAAACCCAAAACACTTGAAATGTATGTGTATTTCAAGGATTGGTTGGATGCCGAAAATCGCTTGCAAGATCGTACTTATGCACAATACGACGACGATGATGATAGAACGTCAAGAAGAAGAAGAACGTACCCAATATAATAAAATAAGTTATTCATTAATTATTGTACGATTATTATCATTATTCTTCGATTAGATTGGAATGTTGTTAATTTTTTTTTTAGCGTTACTCTCGGGTCTCGACTTATATTAGACTTTGAGTTTAATTAAACAATCTTTCAAATAATAGTAATATGAAGTATGTATTCCTTATTTTTAATTATTTTACTATACTTAGATCCTCGTAAATAGTACTCGTAAATTTTTTAAATATATGCATGATTGCTATTTGCTAAATAATAAAGAAATATAATCATAAAAAATAAAAATAATAAAAAGAACGATAACATAAATAATAATAAAGAACTATAATAATAAAAATAAGAATAATAAAAAGAACTGTAATAACAAAAAGAACATAAATAACAAAAAGAACTAAAAATAATAAAAAGAACCATAATACTATAAAGAACTTTAAATAATTAAAATAATATATTTATTTAAATAATATATTGATATTAAAAAAAAAAGAGGAAATTATCATTGGTACACCCAGGTTTGGGCTTTTATCAATGATACACCTGTTTAAGTTTTAATTATCAGCGGTACACCTGTACTTTCAACTAATTAACTACAATAAGCATTCCGTTAATTAAACATTAGTAAAAGGTTAATGACTTGCAAATTTTTTCCCTCCTTTCTTTGCCCTCTACCTGGTATGTTGGGCAAGGTGGTCACAAGCCTTGTGTTCAGGCTTTCAGGGCTAATCAGTTTGATGGAGAAGATCCTAGGGAGCGCAAAGCTAAAAGCTCATTCTTTAACTGGTGGTATTTTGGAGTTTGCTTGGGTGGTTTGGTTGGTATCAGAGCTATGTTCAGGACAACCTTAGTTGGGGCCTTGGATTTGGAATTCCATGCATCATCATGATAATTGCTTTGGTCATATTTATGGCTGGAACTATGACTTATCGCTACTCTATGAAAAGTTGAAGGGGAGAGTCCGTTCACAAGGATTGGAAGGGTATTTGTTGCAGCAGCAAGAAATTAGAATGCTACACTTCCTGTGGTTGCTAACTGAGGAGAGCTTGAAGAAACCGAACCTTATGATAGATTTCAGACAATTCAGATTTCTATATAAAGCTTTACTTGCACCTGACATTGTAAAGAGAGGTGTAAAATCTTGCAGCAAGAATGATGTTGAAGAGGCAAAGGCGGTACTTAGGTTGTTTTCTATATAGGCAACAACTCTGGTCTTTGCAATCGACTTCTCACAACCCACAACTTTCTTCACCAAACAAGGCATTACATTGGACAGATCATTCGGGTCTAATTTTGCAATACCAGCTGCAACATTAATGTCTTTTAATGGCATCAGCATTATATCTTGTATCCCTATTTATGACCGCGTTCTTGTGCCAAAGGCTAGAAAATTGTCCAAAAAGCCTGCAGGCATATCAATGCTTCAGAGAATTGGAATCGGGTTGTTTTTGTCCATCTTTACTATGGTAATAGCTGCTGTCACAGAAAAAAAAAAAGGCTGCAGACTGCTGCTCAACATGGGCTAATAGATTTGCCTATGAGGGGAAAAAAAAAAAAAAAAAAAGGAGGCTAATAGTCAAAATTGCAAGTCATTAACCTATTACTAACGTTTAATTAACGAAATGCTTACTGTAGTTAATTAGTTGAAAGTATAGGTGTACCGCTGATAATTAAAACTTAAGCAGGTGTATCATTGATGAAAGCCCAAACCTGAGGTGTACCAATGATAATTTCCCTTATAAAAATTAAGGGCTGGCCCACAACACGGTACGGCACGGCCCCGCCACGCACATGGGTCGTGCCGTGCCGTGTCGTGGGCTGGGGTGTGCAATTTGATGGACCGGCACAGCACGGCCCACCCATCCTCTTGCCCGCAGCGGCACGGCCCGGCACAATTTCCACCTCTAGGTTGAGCCCTATAAATCTGTCTTATGTGTCGCCTTACACACTCGCACATAAAGGACTTACAGTTTATAATTTCTATCATTTCTGCCCAATCAAATCTGCTACATGAAGGATAGAGGGCTGATACCAGTAATACTACAATACTCTTCTCCCTTTGAAACACCAAACGTCACATACTAAATTGTAAGAAAGTATGGGCGAATAACATAAAAGTCCACTCCAAATATCTAATTATAGCAAGTAAACTGTGAGTGGTGCTATGCATTACTACAAGAGAGACAGTATCATACTCCTGATCATGCATGAACCAAGATCATGGGAATGAAAGAGATTCAATCAGCCAACCCCACTCCAACACACATGCACACAAAAGTGGGGTAGAAGGAAGTCAAGAGTCTCAAGACAGAAATAGCATAATGGACCAAGATTTTAGAAAAAGTTTCAAATGACAATATAATTAATGGTAATTCAAATAATTGTTCAAATTACGATCATCAGTGATACCAGATGAACAATTGACTTCCCTGCAGCCTTCTTATGATGTCAGGTGACAACTTAGTAAGTGCCCCCTTGCACGGGCCTAATCTTCAGTACTGCCCCTACCCACCAGCTTTCTATTCAAGGGAAGTGGATGAATGGGATACTGTTCTCAATCTCACATTTGAAATCAAAATCTTAGGCTACCTATACATCCCACGATAATAATTCAGCAAGCTAGAATGATGACAAGAAGTTTGAATACCTTGACAATTAGAAGGCATCCCTTGGGCCCAGTTACAGCTCGGATACCCTGCAGAAAATTAAGGTATTCAACATGGTATATATTGAGAAATAAGTAACAAACTTCTATAAATCTATATTTCTCTATGATTGCAGAAGAGAGAAAATATTTAGCTGGTGAACTACAAAACAGAAGTGAGCGAAGGTTATACTGCCAGAATTGAATCCACTGGAGGAGAGGCAAAAATATCCCCACATATAGCAGCAGTAAGCATTCCTTGACCCACAAATCCAGCATGAGCAGGCTCATGACCACTGCCACCTCCTAAAGGAAACATAAATTTTAAAATTAATAGGCAAAAAACACCCCCCACGAGACTATAAGATAATAAGTTGTGCAACAAGACCAAAGTTTTTAGCTTAAAAAAAAATAAGAATTGCATTTATATCAATATAATTAATAAATAAATAAACTTCACTAATAACACATCAAAGGAAGGAAAAAAAAAAAAAAAAAAGAGTTTATACTATTAAGTTCAAAATGCCCCATTTTTGCAAAAATCTAGACTTATCAGCCAAACCAATTCCCTGAAACTTTGGCCAGTAAGATGCCAGACGAGATAAGAAATACTCAGACAGTTTGAAGAGGTATTCAATACACTTTGAAGCCTTGTTCCTCAATATGGTAAGGAGCACGCAATTGAAGGAAGTGTCCTTAATCAAGTATAGCAATTACTAATACTTCCTCCATTCCACAAATATTGCAATAAGGATGAAATTACGCATCCCAAAGCACATTTTATATGTTAAATATATATAATTATATAAGAGTAAAAATTATAAAAAGTTGACATTGTGAAAGTATTTTACGATACGAATCTAACAAGATCTCACATGACTATATTTTACTTTACGTATAAGTCAATATGTTGTCAAACAAGCGTGATAAATAGTGCAAACGTATAAATAGGATTAATTAAGAAAATAATACTATTCTTTATTTAGGGGTCGTAATGTTTTGCTAGAAACCAACTACAGTGTGTAAGTTTATTGTAAATGGGCTTAGTACTAATTATAGCCAGATCCTAAATAGTCACACATATAAACATGGGTTGGATCAAAAGCACACTAAGCCCAATAGGGCTAAGTGGCAGGCAAAAGACTAGGGATTAACTTCCTATAACCTAATTTATGTTATAAATTAGGGTTGGTTTTATGTATATGATAATGTTACATAACATTTGAGTAAGAAATACAACCCTAATACTACTACTATACACGGCCACCCATACAAAGAAAGAAAATGACAGTTTTCTTCCTCCTTCCGTACTAGCATACGTGGGGATCTCTCTCGTGTTTGTGGACCAAGTAGAGGAATCACAATTGAGGTTCTTGATTTCCGAAGGAGGGTTATCAAAGGCTAGAAGGGAGTACACACAGCAAAGGTATATCTAACTCCTATTATGTGATTTTCTTCTTAATATCCATGAAATCCTGTTTAGATGTTTAAAAAGCGCTCCTGAAATTCCACTATCGCAACTATTAAGTTCCTACAAAAATCACTCTTAACTCTTAAGACAAGTGACAATCCAGTGACCTTACCACTACATTGCTACCATTATTCCAGAATGATGAAATTGAAAGTCTTACCAAATTGATGATGATTGTAGGAATAATACAACCTCCACTACCCCCTTCTATTGTTACGTACTTACGTGGAAAGAAGAAATGGGGATGAGGTAGTTTTGTGTGGACTACAGTGCTTTGAACAAAGAGAAAGATAAGATAAGGTTGAAAAATGCTAGGGCAAGTTTTTAGTTATTGCAATGTGTTCAAGACTTATCACAGGATTTTTGTGCTCGTATATAAGTATATTTTGACGACATCTTAAAGCCATGAAAGCTAGGCCGCAGTCAGCCAGTCACTATCTAAGAAAGAATGGCAGGGATTTATAGGCATAACAGTGCCCAATTATACACGAATTGCTCTTCCATTGACTGAGCATTTGAAAAGGGCCTGATTTGGTTGGAGCACTGCAGCCACAAAGTCATTCGAATCTCTCAAAAACGTCATGGTGGAGCCACCTGCTCTTGCCAAGCATAATTTCACAAAACTTTTTGTGTTGGAAATGAATGCTTCAGATTCAAGAGAATGAATTCAAGGAATAAAGAACATGAGTCAGAAAACGTAAGTAGAGAAAGCTTTTGTTACTTGCATTCATTTTCTTCTTCCAAGAGTTCGGGTTGTACACCACACTTTGATTTGCTTGCATCTTCTAAAAATTTCTACCTCTTAACTACTTTTTTAGAGAAACTTTTAACAATTAACTACCTCGTTTTCCACCACTTTATCAGCATGCAACTAATTACCAAAGTACTCCATAATTTAGGCAAGAAAAGCACCCTCTTGGAGAAGCCAACATGGCTCATCCCTGCCCATTTAGCAAAAAAAAGGCCTCTTAGGAGTAGGTGAAGGGTAAGGAATTCCCTACCTATTAAGTGCCCTTATTGGGGTTTGATCCCATAACCTCAAGTAGCCACTAGATTAAGTGCTACTTCCTTCGCGACTTTTGTCTAAAAGTTCTTTTTATCTCCTGTTTGTCACATTTCTCAATGAACATTTATAAGCGTCAAATTATTCAGATACATGTTAGTAAAATTATAAAAGTTTGATAGATTTTAATTTCACATTGAAACTAATCAAACAACGATCCACATGACTATGTTTTTTATTATATGGTGGAAAGAATTAAAAAAATTCTCTTTCAATCAATCAATCAATCAAAGCCTTAAGTGTCAATAATGTCTACATCCCAAATAATAACAACAAAGAGACATGGAGAGTAACTTGGTAAATTAAATTATATATTTGTCAAACCTAAACAAAACTGAAAACTTTTGATTTTTTATTTTTCCGTGAGATGACTCAAATGCACAGGGACCAGATCAGACTGAATAGTTTTGGATGAGAAAACTCAACTTCAACATAAATAAAGCAAAGAACGACTCTAATTTATTTGCTCTCGTCTTCTCCATATCAAAATAAGCATGGCAGAAAGTATGACCAAAAATTTCCAGGTGTGATATTGCTCCCCTCCACCCCCACTTCCCCCATATTATTAAAAATAAATAAATCATAAAGATTGACTTTTTATCTTAGAAATTGGGATCACTACATAAATTTTAGCAAACAAACATCATTGGCACCTGATATAACAGACACATGATCGTAAGTTGAGCTTGACACATCAGCGCGCAAAACAACCTTTACCTATACAAACATAATAACAAAATCATATTACGATAAAAAGCCGAAAACCAGGAAAAGTAATTGAATAAAGGGTTAATTTGAATAATGACCTCCGGAAAACCATCCAAATACTGCAATCCAGGGTAAGTTTCCACCAGTCCCTCAATGAATTCTGTCACCACGGCTGTGAGAAAAAAAAAAAATATGTTAGCACTGTTTCAGTAAGAACCTACTCAACTCTTTCATAGAAGATGATTAGTAAAATCATGCCGAATCCTTAGTCAGGAGGGGTGTAATTAAGACAATGTGACAGCTAATAACGGATATAGGAGATTAGTTTTAATTCTTCCATGTACCATGGGACTCCTTAATAGCCGCTAAATTTTAAACCAATGTGATTGACACATTGACTCAAGACATCCCAAACAAACTGCATGAAACACAAGCCCCACATTAGAGGACTTACGGATTTGGAAGTGCTAAAATTGCTAATCACCATATATCCTAATAATGATAAGAAAACACGACAAAACACAACCCCAACAAGGCACGGATTACTTAAACTACAAAGTATGACATACATTAATAAGTATAAAACATAACCATGTTTCGAATAGGAGTCGAAATACGCCCCTTTGACATTGCCAGCAATTTCAACAGAGGAAGCTCTATATTTGAATATTTGACTCTAGATTATGGAAATCATAGTGCTAGTGTAGCAGAATTATAAACAAGTCATTTAAAAATTATTTTTAAAAAAAAAAAGATAAAAAAGAAAAAAAATTGATGTCAAAGTAACAAGTACTGTATGTTTCATCTTAAATAATCTTTCAGTAACTGTTAAACATATTAGCAGCTAATTGTACCCAAAGTAACATGCAAACACTAATATATCTGGTTAGTTCATAATTTATCTACATTATTGAAGCTTAACGATTCGCAAATTAATTGTAAGAATATAAGAAAATTAAAAGAATTAAAATGATAAAATATATGAATAATTCGAGAAAATTGAATGATTGCGAAGGATAAACTGACCATTGGGATCATTGATGAGTTTCTTGCCTTGAAACGACATGTTAATGGCAAGTGAAGTTGATAAATTTCTAGCGATAGAGAAAGAAGAAATCAGTACTGCAGTTTACGAGAGAATTTGGGAGAAATTGTTGAAAGAAATGAAGGAAATTTTGGGGAAACCTAGTTTCTGACTTTTGGTGGGAGAAACTGGAGAGAGAGATTAAATTGAACTTCAACAATTTCGGCCAACTTTTCCTACGGAGTACTGTAATTAAAGTACTCCTTACATTGTTAGATACTTGTTTTATTTCTTCAGAGTTTTTTACGAAAAACTGGGAAAAGTATTAAAATATAGAGGTAGTGGGATAGGTGAAAAAATAAAAAATTATAAAAAATAAAATAATTGAAAAAATTGGAGGAGATATAATATGAAAATTAATAAAATATGATTTATGTTGGGTCTACTAGTTGAGAGAAATGAATTAAATATTGTAAAAGTTTTCTAAATAAGGAAATGGAACAAGTATCCAAAAACGGCCGAAAATGGAAAGTGGAACAGGTATTGAAAAACGGAGGGAGTAGTTTTTGAGGCTCGGACAATGCCCCGTATTATTACATGAATTGATCGTTATTATACGGTGTAATTTATGCTTCTAGTCATTTATTACATATTAATATTTTGTATTCAAAAGATTGCATAAAAAATCATTGGTGGTAAAATATTTAGTTTTAGAATTAGAGGTTGCGTGTTTAAATCTTATGGTGAGCTTTTTTATTTATTAATTATAACTACATTAATATATTAGTACTAGTCTTTTACCCGCTCGGTTATTTACTGGAAAAAAATATTTTTATAAATTACTCTAACTTTGTATTTGTTTATAGGTTTTATATACACATATTACATAATTATTTCAAAGTACATAATTAATAATGATATTTTTTTATAATATAAGAGATATTGTGGGAAAATTTTCTTTATGCTTATAAATGAATGAAGATTAAGATAACCAAATTATCTTTTTTTAAAAAAAATAAAAAAACAAAGTAACCAAATTATCTTTTATATTGTAACAAACTTTTTTTAAAAGATGACCAAAAAAAATAAAAAATAAAAATTGTAAAAAAAATAACAAAAGTTTGGGCGGGAAAATTTTTACTGAGAGGGGTGACATATGTATTAGGAGGATAAGGTTGGGGATTACTTTAGTATATAAGTATTGATAGATTATAGCAACTTTTTCTGGCTGACCACATCGTGTGGCAGGGGTTACATGAGGCAAGGGTTACTTATTTAGGGGTAGCTTGTAAAGGTTACTTATTTAGGGGTTAGTTGTAAAGGTTACTTACTCAATTGGTTAGCACGTTTTCTATGTGAGAGTAACCCCGATCGACCGAGTAACCCTTGAATAAGTAACCCCTATAATTTACCCCTGACCAAACGAGTAACCCCTAAATAAGTAACCCCTGACCAAACGAGTAACCCCTAAATAAGTAACCCTTGACCAAATGAATAACTCCTGAATAAGTATCCCCTACAAGTAACCTCCTATTGTCGGAATATATTTCCAACATTAATGTTATATGTGGATGAATTCTCCCACATGGAAATAATAAGGAGGAAGTAAGTGGTTTGTATACTAAACCCTGATCCAACAATTTAACTGATGTTGAACCAAATAAAAACACTTTATTGCCCCAATTAATGACTCATATTATTTTATACACACTTATTTTATATTTAAATAATTAATTCTTTTTAAATGAAATAAATCATTTTAATTTATAAATAAAATAAATAATTTATATATAAAAAATATTATAAAAATACGGAGTATTACACTTGCTTTGGCATAGCCTGTTTAGGGTAAAATTACCCATGACAAATGGATCAATCCGGACCTGCCACGTGTCCACCACGTGGGCCAATTAGCATCCGCCACTTGTCACCTGAGAGGTCCAACATGGACTTATCAGGCCACGCCATGTGGCCCATAATCCGCCAACCTGGAAAACGGCCATCACAGGCCCGATTCCCGAGGCAAGACCAATCAGTCCTAGGTTTACCAATTAACCTAGTATTGGGCACGTACTTCGAGGCTATATAAACAGGTCATTAGCCTCCATTAAACAACAGAATGATCTCACCTAGAGAATCCTAAACACACGTGCATACTAATTGCTAGACCAAACTTAGCATTATTTGCACTCCCCGATCACTCCTCCTCTTTGAGGAACCAAATCACCCTCTTTACTTTTCCGCACCTTTTACTCCACATACAAGTACTAACTTGATCGTCGGAGGCGGAGCTCCCACCACCCGGAGTCTCCGTTGTTTTGCAGGTACAGGCGCAAGAATACCAGTCCCGAAATTGTAACTCTCCCGCAGGACATCAAAAAACCCCGAAACATAGCCTATCACGATTTTCAAAGTAATAGTAAGTTGTCATTTTCGAATGGCAAATTTCAACCCAATTTTATTTTGGACTTAGGATTTATGTGTTGTTTTGATTTAAGTGAACTTAACTAATCATTCAACATTAGAAATCCTAAAACATGCATCGAAATATCAAGATATATATAAACAATGTAAATCGACATATATAAAATGTATAGTGAACTAGCATGACCCCTTGAAAATTATCTTGAAGTATCCAATTTTCAATCTTTAAGATCATCTTGGCACCTTTTGGCACCATCTTCAAAGACACGCCATCTTTAGACTTCACCATTAAGCATGCAAGTACTAGTAACTAGGATTAATCTAAATAAACTAAGTACATAAGTACTCAACGACACACAGTCCGTATTTAGATTTACAAAAATACATAACAGAATGCAATTAGTATTTTCTATCCTAGTCGGGCCATACTAGTCACTTTTTATAAAAACCTACATAAGATTATAAGAACATTTATAATATTCCATTCACTTCTAAAGTGAATGGCCCATACATATATTTTACAAACAATACAAGTGATAATACAAAACCATGTATCAAATACACGCGCACTAGTTACTAACTTAATTAGGTGCTTAATCCGATTAACATGCCTAATTACAACTAGTTGAGTTGTTAACCAATTATGTGAACTAATGCAATAATAAGCATAATTAAAGCTTTAGATGCTCAAAAACGATTAACGACACTCCCACTAAATCCCACATCCATCCTAATTAAATTAATCTATTAAATTTAATCAAGCACATCGAGAGAATTTGGTCAAAATTACACAATTTTGTAAAAAACCGAGGCCTAGTCTCAATTTTAAACAAAAACTGTAAATCACAAGTCTAAGCCGAGGCCTAGCTCCCAAGCTAAAGGCTAGGTGCTGCTATGCTGCCTAGCCGAGCAGCCTTGCTAGCGCTCAGTGTTGCCTAGCAACCCCAGCTAGCTTTGCGTGCAGGTGTCGGGCACAAGCACTGCAGCACATCAAAGCATGCGCAAGCACTGGCAGCTACCATGCTTGTGTGCTGATGGTGCTAACAGCATGCTTGTGCGTGCACTAGTGCTGGTAGCAGGTGTTGCTAGGCAACCCTGCTTTGCGAGCTAGGTGCTGCCTAGCGGCCCTTGTGGCACGCACACACGCACCATCGCACTCCCTCCCGCACACTTTGCTCACACACATATATGCACACACCCGCACCATCGCACTCCCTCCCGCACACTTTGCTCACACACATATATGCACACACCCGCACCATCGCACTCCCTCCCGCACACTTTGCTCGTGCACATAAATGTACACATCCGCACCACAGCTCTCGGTAAGCAACTTAACATAGCTGTGTGAGCCGTATGCTGGCCAAGGGTTGCATCGAGTTTCAATGCCTCAGTTTTAGGGTGTGCCTCGGGATTTTTAATATAATACCCTGGAAATTTCCTTCTTTTTAAAATACTCATTTTACTCTAAATAAAACCTTTTTTAGGAAATAACCAAAATATTACCGCCACCGTGATAACGGCTAAGGCTAATTTTCAAAGTCACACAACGGAAGTCTAAAAATAAAAACCAACTTTCAAAATAAAGTTTGAGTTCACAACCTCAAAACAAAAGTAAAATAAAACATTCACAAGTTAGAACCAATTCAAACATGGCCCTTCTTAAAACCAATTAAAAATAAACTCAATATTGTTAGTCCATAAACAAATCAATAATTCAAAATATTAAAATTTAGAAACATAACAAGTAACTCTGTGCACTCTATCCCATCATGCTCTTCATGCTTCAAGTACCTGTTACTTCCTCTTTATTCAACCCTCTACTCACCATATAAATGGGTCATAGTAGGGCCAATCCAAAGGAAAGCCAAACACAAACACAAAAGTACAAATCAGCAAAGCTGAGTACATATGTAGCACACTAACATGAATATCCTAGCATCAAAATAAAAATAATTAAAACATACTCGCCATACAATCACAAGTCAACTTACCTTTGACTCATAACTAGCAATATTAGTTATTAAAAATAAATTTTGAATTACGCATCGAACGGGTTTCCTTCCTTGAAAATAGCCTATTTAAATATTGAGCTTCCAATCAGGGAGCTACCCCAATTGGCACCTACTATGTCACACTTGTGACGAAATTCCAGCGCATAAATAATAAAAGAAAGTACAGCGTCCTGTACCCCTATAGAAGCTATGGTTAAATATAAAACCCTATAACTCCCCCCATATGTTCATACTCAAGGTATATATGTTCCAATAGTTTTGGTGCGTATCCTCTTATAGTTTACGTGATTTACCAATTTAACATGTGACGACTCAAACCAATCAATCAAGAATAAACATAGCAACATTGAACACATACTTTCAATTCATTCTTGAATTAATTAGTGAGCACATACTATCTATTTTAATTAGGGTTCCTTGTCTAGTTTTGTGCACAAAATTGCACGATTACTACCTTGTCTTACCATGTGGATGCTAGGCTAGTTCGAGCTAGCATGCAACTAGCATGGCTAGGCGCACCATCGCAAGCTCAAGGGGCACCATCGCAGCCTATCGCAAAGCACCACAAGCCCCAGGCAGCCCATCGCAGCTAGCAGCGTGCTAGCCTGGGTGCCTGGGTGCATGTGGCAGGCTATCGCAGCAGCATGGCACCACGCACAGCACCATCGTAGTGCTAGGCACGTGCGTGTGTGCATGTGCGTGTGCACCATCGCCCAGCAGCACGCATCTGTGTGCGTGCCTTCGCATGGCAACACCAAGCACAACGAGCTAGCAAGCAACGCTGGCCATGCGTGCATGGGCACCATCGCAGGCCATGCACCAAGCACAACACACCTATGTGTTTGCGTGCCTCGCACCAAGCATAGCAGTGCTAGGCACTGGCTGATGCGTGTGCGAGCGTTGCGTGGTGCATGGTGCG